GAAGCAGTGTCAAATGTGAAACAGTGTTTAGCTTTCCTCGGGCTATATTTGTATAAATATGTTATTAGTATGTGCTCCAAAATAATGGGAAACTCCTATAATTCTGCTATGACTTAGTGCACCTTATCAGTATAATTATAATTGTTACATAAAACCATTGTATGCAACAGAGGTAACCAAATTTCTTTGTCAATTGTGTTTTTAACTGTGGCTGTCCTAAAACTTTTTGCCATCCATAGACAATTATTTTGTTTTGATCCTCTTCAAAAGGAGATTTTTATTATTATTATTATTATTTTGAGACTGAGTCTCACTCTGTTGCCCAAGTTAGAGTGCAGTGGTACAATCTCAGTTCACTGCAACCTCCGCCTCCCAGGTTCAAGTGATTCTCGTGCCTCAGCCTCCCAAGTAGCTGGGATTACAGGAGCGTGCCACCATGCCCGGCTAATTTTTGTGTTTTTATTAGCGACAGTGTTTCACCATGTTGGTCAGGCTCCTGACCTCAAGTGATCCACTTGCCTCAGTCTCTCAAAGTGCTGGGATTACAGGCATGAGCCACCAAGCCCCAAAAGGTGATTTATAATCAACTATACAACTCTAATAGGTATTCTTGAATGCAGGTTTCATTTAACTTTGGAGATTGTGACATTAGAAAAGGGAAAAAGAAACTTTCCGGACTCTCGTGGAAAGTTGACATGTTCATGTATATCAAGCAAAACAGAAGTTAACCGTATGGACTAAACTAATAGAAGTCTGAAGTAACCTTTTTTGACTTTTTGCTTAAAACATTGCTGATTCTGTTTTGTTCTTCAGAGTCAAGGAAACTTTTAAGTTATTCACAGCTTTTTAAACAATTAAGTAATGTACATACTCATAAACAAAATTTGGAGCATATTTGTTTCTCTCTGATTTCTCCAGAATTTGGAAATTACTTATGAGTATCTTAACTTATGGCAATATAGTTATTTGCATAAATGCAGTAAGAATCTGCTTTCTTTTGCAACGGGGCACAATTGGAGAAACTGGTTATTTTGCCAAGGCTTTGACTGGAATGGCATGCTTTCCTTTAAGGAATCAAACTTGACTTGTAAAGCTAATAAAAGCCCCTGGGGAAAACTGGCCTCGTACCTTGTCTACACAGTCTCTATATAGGGTTCTTAACCCGTAGTAAGTAAAGAGGGTATAAATCCATGGCTGGGCTTGGCTTAAAAAAAAAAAAAAAAAAAGGTCTTCTCTGAGATTTCTTATGGAAGAGTTCTATCAAAACTAATTTTAAAAGCCTATATGGCAAACAATTATCCTTGCTGCACTTTGTACAAATAATCAGGCCATGTAAAATAAAGCAAATCAGCCTTACCATGATTTGTCTTTAGTAAAAATGGGAAACTGGAGAGGGAAAAATTGTGTTTCAAGAACTATGGTACATTTGTTATTGAATTCTGGTTTCATCAGTTGTTTTTGAGATTTCCTGCAATTTAGACTAACCCTGCTTATTCCTGTGGACCAACCAGTGATATCTGGATGCTACTGAGAAGAAACAGGAGAGATTGGTAAAGCAAAAATCTGGATCAATATTCTAATCCTGGGCATGTATTGGAATCACCTAGCAACCCCATATCAGCCTGGTTCCAATAGTTGCCCAGTTCGTGGAAAGTCTTCTAATTTAGTTAACTTGGGATAATCTTGCTTATTTTGCTTTACTGTTGTGGAATATATTACTGTTGTACTCTTTGTGTAGAAATGCAGGATAAGCTTACCAAATGTTTTTTTAAAAAACACACATTAATCTTCCAGACACCACCTTTTGTTGGAACTCAAGGGTTATGAGTGGCTCTCAACATACCGATGCTTTCTAACTAAGCTCCTCTCTATCCTGAACACAAGAGATCCTAATAGTTAGGCAGGAATATCATCACCCCATTCAGTCTGAAGAAGTTACAGAAGATGGATCTTTGTCCTTCTGCAACCCTTAGGATTAAGCGTTCTCTTACAAAAGGGAACGGGGAAATGTCAGAGGCATTTGAACTGAAGCAACTCCCATCTTGAATAGGAGCTGGGTAAAATAAGGCTAAGACCTGCTGGGCGGCATTCCCAGTGGCAAGTTAAGGCATTTTTAATCACAGAAAGAGATAGAAGGTCAGCAAAAGATACAGGTCATATGGACCTTGCAGATAAAACAGGTTGCAGTAAAGAAGTTGGTTAAATCCCACTAAAACCAAGATGGTAACGACGGTGACCTCTGTTTGTCTTCACTGCTACACTCCCACCAGCGCCATGACAGTTTACAAATGCCATGGCAGTGTCAGGAAGTTACCCTATATGGTCTAAAAAGAGGAGGCATGAATACTCCACCCCTTGTTTCGCATTATCATCAAGAAATAACCATAAAAATGGGCAACCAGCAGCCCTTGGGGCTCCTCTGTCTATGGAGTAGCCATTCTTTATTCCTTTACTTTCTTAATAAACTTGCTTTCAATTAAAAAAAAATTATTAATAGAAATACAGAATAGAAATAGAGTCACACAATGTGCCACACAATGACATTCAGTCAATGCCAGACTGCATATATGATGGTGATTTCATAAGATTATGATGGAGCTGAAAAATTCCTATCATTTAGTGACATAATAGCACAGTACATTACCTTTCCTATGTTTTGAGATGTTTAGATACATAAATACTTACCACTGTGTTACAAATGCCTACAGTATTCAATACAGTAACCTGTTGTACAGGTTTGTAGCTCAGGAGCAACAGGCTGTACCATAGCTTAGGTGTGTAGTCGGCTATACTATCTCAGTTTGTGTAAGTATACTCTATGATGTGTGCACAACAATAAAATTGCCTAACAATGCATTTCTCAGAATGTATCTTGTCATTAAGCAACACGACTGTATATAGAAATATTAATAATAACTAGGAGAATACAATTATCGGTTGTTTTCCATCTTCTGCATTTTCCAAAAGTTTGTAATGTATTCATATTATTTCTACAGTTCAAAAAATATTACTGATGCCTGTTACAAGGAAAGTGGTATGCCAGGCAATATATGCAAAAAAGTAAAAATGTATATACTACCAGGTCTTTGATTCCCAGGGGCTTTCCAGCTATTGGGGGAATAAATTACAATGTGAGACAATGTATGGCTAACATTTCATAACTAAAGAACTTACATATTCAAAAAATGTTGCAGGCATTGAGTTACATAGTTACTGAAATAAGCTATTGATGTCTCCACAATTCTAACTTAAGAGCATACTAATTTGGATGGCTAGCCTATTCTTTCTTGAAAGGAAGTCTTCAATTTACCTTAGAAATGTCTTTTTTTGGTCTTACTTCCCACTAACAGATGGCATAGGCTGTGTTCTCCTCATCAATTTACCCATTTTAAGACTGACTTCTTTTTTTTTTTTTTACTATCAAATTCTAATCGAATTTCATTTACTATGCCATGCTCAGGACAGTTCTCAGTTTTATAGGGCCTGAAACGAAAAACAATTTGGGAGTCTTCTTCAAGGAGAAGAATACAAAACTGCAAATACAAAATTAGGTCAGGGTCTTGGAAGAGGTTAACGCCAAAGAAGGGCCTGAAGCTTCAAGTCTGTTACCTTTAAGGTAAATTTCTTTCCAGTCACGGTTCCCAAATGAATTATTCTTTTCATTTGACTTACAGGTCAAAAAAAAAAAAAAAAAAAATATATATATATATATATATAAAAAAATAATTTTTTAAACAACTGTCATAAAAATCTATGAAATGAGAAACTTTATAATCAGCATCTTAGACAACAAACATGAAAAAATTCCAGAAAAAAAAAAAACAGGGATTCACATTGCATTTGCTATAGTGGTACCCAGAGAAGTAGCTTAGTGCGGTGGCTTAGACATGAACTCTGGAGTCAAACTGCCTGGGTTCAAATCTCAGCTTTACTACTTAACAGCTGAATGACCTCAGACAAGTAACACAACACAACCACTCTGTAGCTTAGTGTCCTCACCTGTAAAATGAAAACAGCACTTACCTAATGAGATTGTTGTAAGAATTATATTAGAATTATAAGGACAGCAAGATTATTTAGCATGTGTAAAATACTTAAAATCTGGCACATGGTAAGTGCAATATAAGTGTTAGCTCCTATTATTATTAGTATATCACTTATAATTCAATTTAGAAAATTACTTCCATTTCCTGAGCATCTCAACTGACAGAGTTCTATAAATATAGCTGAATTTATTACAATAATTTGCTAATATTGAAAAAACCCTAAATTTCATCAACAAGAAACATACTGAATGAATTAATAGTATATTAAGATCATAGAACCACTAGGTCACCAACAAAAAGAATGAGGCTGATCTATAATTACTGACATGGAAAGATGTCTGTGACAATAGTATTAGTAAATAATATTAGTGTATAAGAGTATATTCACTGGCTGGGCACGGTGGCTCACGCCTGTAATCCCAGCATTTTGGGAGGCTGAGGCAGGCGAATCACAAGGTCAGGAGTTTGAGACCCGCCTGACCAACATGGTAAAATCCCATCTCTACTAAAAACACAAAAATTAGCCAGGCACGGTGGTATGTGCCTGTGATTCCAGCTACTTAGGAGGTTGAGACAGGATGACCGCTTGAACTTGGGAGGCAGAGATTGCAATGAGTCGAGATCATGCCACTGCATTCCAGCCTGGGCAACAGAATGAGAGACTCCATCTCAAAAAAAAAAAAAAAAAAAAAAAAAGATTCTATTCACTGTTCTCAAGTATGTATTTTGTTTTATGTATGTGTGTATATATATATATAGGTTTCTATTCACATAGAAAATGCCTGGAAGAATGCATACCATCCTACAATCAGTGGTTACATCACAGGACAGAACTGGGAAACTTATAATAATATACTTATATACTATTATAGTTTTATATTTTATAGAATATGCATGCATTATTTTTATAATTTAATTTTTCAACTCTGAGTCAGAAAAATAAGGTCAGCCCACCTCGGTGTGTCTACAAACTTCTCGATCAGCACAGCATCATCACTGAAAGACTTCTTAGCTTCTCTCCGCGCTGATTCTAACTGTTCTTGAAATTCTTGCTCTGATCTAACGATCCTCATTCCCTAAGAGAGAAAAGATGATTATGACCACAACATAAATAAAACAAAGAAGAGGAGCCTGAATTGGCAAACACAAGCATGCACAATCTTACTTTTCCTCCTCCACCCCGGACGGCTTTAATCATGACAGGATAGCCAATTCTCCCGGCGTGTTCCTTCAGGCACTGATCTGATTGGTCCTCACCATGATAACCCTCCACAACAGGTACTCCAGCAGCAGCCATTATGGATTTGGATGTGCTTTAGAGTGGGAAAGCAAACAACATGCCCCAAATTCTATAAACTGTTTCATTCAAGAGAAACACAAATATAGCCCAGTCTATAAATTACAAAACACCTTTAAAGAAAACATCAAGTCTGAGATGACAAAATAATACAAATTCAAGATGTCTATTAGTTAGTTTCCCTCAATTCATGTGGTAGCTCATCTCACCCTATTTTTAATCCCAAAATACTAATATATTGATTAGAAACATTAAGTATTTTCTGTAACTCAATGGAATTTCCCTGTTGCAGATAAATAACTTATGCCTATGACAACAGAAGGGTAGAATTAAAATATCTATTATGGGTAAAACAAACTATTTTTTTTTTTTAAGAGACAGGGTCTCACAATGTTGCCCATGCCAGAGTGCAGTGGTGCAATTACACCTCACTACAGCCTTAAACTCCTGAGCTCAAGTGATCCTTCTGCCTCAGCCTCCTAAGCAGTTGTGACTACAAGTGTGTGTCACCATACCCAGCTGAAATCTTTTTTTTTTTTGAGATGGGGTCTTACTCTGTCGCCCAGACTGAAGTATGATGGTGTGATCACAGCTCATCGCAGCCTTGATTTCCTGGGCTCAGCCAATCCTCCTACCTCAGCATCCCAAGATGTTGGACCCACAGGCATGTGCCACCAAGCCTGGAATTTCTAAAAAATGTTGTAGAGACAAGGTCTCCCTATGTTGCCCAGGCTGGTCTTAAACTTTTGGGCTCAAGCGATCCTCCCACCTTTGCCTCCCAAAGTGCTAGATTACAGGTGTGAGCCACTGTGCCCAGGCCTGGCTGAATTAAAAAAAAAAAAATTTAGAGACAAGGTCTCAATAAGTTGCCCAGGCTGGTCTTGACTTCCTGCCCTCAAGCTATCCTCCTGCCTCTGTCTCCCAAAACACTGATATTACAGGCATAGCCACCATGCCTGGCCCAAACTATTTCAACTGACCTTTATACAGTTATATTTTAAAAGATATAAACTCATACCTCTTTATACCCATGTCTCTAATTGCAGATGGAGGAGGGCCTATAAAAATAATTCCTTCTTGCTTACAAAGTTCAGCAAATTCCATGTTTTCTGAAAGAAAACCATATCCTGGATGGATAGCCTAGAAATGAGAAATAAAATTAAAAACTTACTCATTAGTGCTCAACTGGCAACACCTTAATGCAGGTGAAGCTGTCTTCCTCTGGGAGGCCTCTCCCTACACTGCTAATAGTATGATCTCTATCAAAATGTTTCCAAAGAAATATCTGAAATATTCATACGAAAGCTCTGAAGCCTTACCTAAACCAGATGAATCTATATTTCTTTTTATTATGATAATATATACATAGCAAAACATTGACCATTTTAGTTACTTTTAAGTATATAATTCAGTGGCATTAAGTACACTCACAATGTTGGGCAGTTGTCATCACCATCCATCCTCAGGATGTTTTAATCTCCAAACATAATTCTCCGTTCCCTCCCTTTCCTTAGTGCCTGGTAACCAGCATTTTACTTTCTGTGTTTATGAATTTGTCTAGCCAAAGTACCTCATGTAAGTGGAAGTGTATAATAATTTGTCTGAGTTTGGCTTATTTCACCTGCATAATGTTTTCAAGGTTCATTCATGTAACATGTATCAGAATTCCATTTGTTTTTAAGGTCAAATAATATCCAGTTTGTATACCTATTGTTTACCCATTCATCTCTTGGTGGACATTGTGTTATTTCTACACATTGTGAATACTGCTGCTATGAAAAACAAGCATTGGTATACAAGTATCTGTTTGAGTCCCCGCTTTAAATTCTTCTAGTTGTATATCACAAGTGGAATTGCTGGATCATATAGTACAGAAGTTTCTGTATACTTAAATTTAAAACAACACTGCAATTAGGGTAGAACGTCAAGGAGTAAAGAGCTTCAGAGTGGTAAGGGAAATTTGTCTATTCTGTCTCTGTAAAACTGGCCTAGAATTGAAATCATGGCATCCAAAAACCCCAAAGAGAACACTAGCTCAATAAATACCTCACTTATCTTCAGGTCACTATCTAGCAATGTCATCTTTCCAGAAAAAAGCTAAGAAGCAAATGAAAGTCATGTATTAAAGTCTACAGGAGTGCCCCTTATCCAATATAGGGGATATATTCCAAGATCCCTAGTGGATGCCTGAAACTATGAATACTACAGAAGTGGACTGATACCAATTGGACCACACTTCTGTTCATGTCTTCCAAACACAAATTTAATGCCTTTCCCATCTTAACTAAGCACTTGCCATGCACTGTGGCCGTAACTTTTGCAGTTTGAGGTGCAACAGGAAAATAACATGAATTTGTTTTTTCTTCTTCACAATTTCACAGATAGAAACTTGGTCCTTACCAAGAACCAAGAAATCTCAACATATATATATATATTTTTTCTTTCCTTGAGAATGTTCACCTTTTCACTTAAAAGAGCATTTTATAGCTTCTCTTTGGCATAAGTGAATTGCTACCATCATTACTCTTGCACTTTGAGGCCATGATTTAAATAAAACAAGGGTGACTTGAACACAAGCATGGTGGTACCGTGACAGTCGATTTGATAACCTAGATGGCTCCTGAGTGACTATGTTGGGGAGTGTAGACAGCGTGGAGACACCAGATAAAGGGACGATTCACATCCTAGGAGGGACAAAGCAGACCGTGGAAGATCTCACTGTGCAATTCAGAATGGCGTGCAATTTAAAACTTATCAATTGTTCATTTCTGGAATTTTCCATTTAATATTTTCAAACCACAGTAGACTGCAGGTAACTGAAACCACTCAAAGAGAAACCCTGGATAAAGGGGGACAACTGTATGTGTACTTTTAGTGAAAAGGGCATCCCTCAGACTTCAGCCTAGTTACTTCTAATGTACTCAGAATTTTAACGAACATACTTACTCGGTTTTTAGCCCACAGAACAAGAAATTCAGTAACTGAAGGACAGCAAGATTTCTAAGAGCAAACACACTGACAGCAAAAAGGGAAGAAACAGAAGAAGGCAAAAGGCAGAGTGGGCTTGGATGATTTAATGAGTGATAAAGTCACTCCCTCTCCAGTATCAGTAGCCCTGAGGGGATTTGTTCTTCTAACATGTATTATAATTATGACCAAAACAATATAAAAAGACAAACGCTTCGCCAATACTATTTGAAAATAGTTACACTCAAAGAACATTTCAAAATTAAAGGGGCAAGCTTCAGATATCTGGGAAACTCATACGAATAGAAAAACCCACATCCTAGTGACAGGAAACAATAAAATGCCAGATACAGATAAAATGCTGGATAGTCACAAGTTGCAGCCAGTGTGGAGTTTTATTTCTTTTAAACCAAAGTTCAATTTTATTTTATTAACTTTTATTTTAGGTTTGGGGTGCATGTGAAGATTACACAGGTGAATACATGTCACAGAGGTTTGTTGTACAGATTATTTCATCATCCAGGCATTAAGCCTAGTACTCAATAGTTATCTTTTCAGCTCCTCTCCCTCCCACCTTCCCCACTCAAGTATACCCCAATGTCTTTTGTTTCCTTCTTTGTGTTCATAACTTCTTACCATTCAGCTCCCACTTCTAAGTGAGAACATGCAGTATTTGATTTTCTGTTCCTGTGTGAGTTTGCTAAGGATAATAGCTTCCAGCTCCATCCATGTTCCTGCAAAAGATGTAATCTCATGCTTTATTATGGCTGCATGGTATTCCGTGGTGTTTATGTACCAACTTTTCTTTATCCAGTCTGTCACTGATGGGCATTTAGGCTGATTCAATGACTTTGCTATTGTGAATGATGCAATGAACGTACATGCACATATGTCTTTATGGCAGAATGATTTACATTCCTCTGGGTATACAACCAGTAATGGGATTACTGCATTGAATGGCAGTTTTGCTTTTAGCTCTCTGAGGAATCACCCTGCTGCTTTCCACAATGGTTGAACTAATTTACATTCCCACCAACAGCATATAAATGTTACCTTTTCTCCACAACCTTCTGGCATCTGTTATTTTCCTGACTTCTTAATAATGGCCATTCTGACTGGTGTGAGATGGTATCTCACTGTGGTTTTGATTTGCATTTCTTAATGATCAGTGATATTGAGTTTTTTTTCATATGTTTGTTGGTCGCATGTATGTCTTCTTTTGAGAAGTGCCTGTTCATGTCCTTTGCCCACTTTTTTTTTTTTTTTTTGAGACGGAGTCTCGCTCTGTCGCCCAGGCTGGAGTGCAGTGGCATGATCTCAGCTCACTGCAACCTCCACCTCCCAGGTTCACGCCATTCTCCTGCCTCAGCCTCCCAAGTAGCTGGGACTACAGGCGCCCGCCACCACGGCCTGCTAATTTTTTTGTGTTTTTAGTAGAGACAGGGTTTCACCATGTTAGTCAGGATGGTCTCGATCTCCTGACCTTGTGATCCCCCTGCCTCAGCCTCCCAAAGTTACGGGATTACAGGCATGAGCCATCGTGCCCACCTGTCCTTTGCCCACTTTTTAATGGGGTTGTTTTTCTCTTGTACATATGTTTAAGTTCCTTATAGATACTAGATATTAGACTTTTGTCAGATGCAAAGTTTGCAAATATTTTCTCTCACAATTTGGGTATTTTGTATAAAATGGTCAAACATCTACACTACGAAAACGAACAGGTCTATGTCCTAGTCCTCCCTGGTTTGGGTTTTCTTTTGAGATATGATTTATAATACATAGCATTCATTCATTTATAGTTTGGTGAATTTAGTAAATCTATACAATTGTGCAACTATCACTACAATCCAGTTTGAGAACACTTGCATCACTAGAAAAAGTTCCCATGTGCCCACCTGCAATCTGTTCCCACACCCAAGCAACAACTGAGTTGCTGTCTCTAAGGTTTTGCCTTTAAAAAAATTCATATAAACAGAATCATACAGTATTATGTGTCTGGCTTCTTCAACTGCACATAATTTTTCAAGGTTTATTCATGTTGTGGAGTGTGTCAGTAGATCATTTCTTTTTATAATATGGATTCTGTTATATGGATATACCACATTTTGTTTACCCATTCATTTGAATTGTTTTCCAGTTTGTGGTTATTATGAATAACGGTGTTATAAACATTCACAGACAAGTCTGTGTGAAAATATTTTTCATTTCTCTTGGGAAAATACCCAGGAGTGCAATTGTTTGTCATAATATGGTAAGAATACATTTAACTTTTCTAAAGGGATGATTTTATTTTGCATTTCCACCAGCAATTTATGATGCCTTCAAGGGTATCCATATCCCTGCCCACATATTGTATTGTCAGTCTTTTTTATTTTGGCCAATCTAGTGGGTGCATAGTGTTACTGCACTTTTTAAACATAGTTGTTGAGATATAATTCATATACCATAAAACTCGGCCAACCCAATGATTTGTAGTATACTCCGAGTTGCACAATTATCACTATAATCTAAAATACCAAGATCTAATAATGTAAGTTTTTAACACTGCAAAAAGAAATCCTGTGCCTATTAGCCATTTCTCATTCCCCATAAACCCCCAGCCCTAGGCAACTGTGAATCTACTTTCTGTCTCTATAGATTTACCTATATGAACATTTCGTATAAATGGAATCATATAATATATGCAGTCTTTTGTGACCAGCTCTGTCACTGAACATAATGTTTTCAAGGTTCAGCCATTTTTTTTTTTTAACACAAATCAGTAATCCATTCCTTTTTGATGGCAAAATAATACTCCATTGTATGGCTATGCTGCATTTTATTTATGCATTCATCAGTTGATAGACATTTGCGTTGCTCCTACTTTTTTGGCTACTATAAATAATGCTGCTATGAACATTCAGGCATAAATTTCTGTGCGGATGTGTTTTCATTTCTTTTGGATACATACTGAAGAAGTAGAGTTACTAGTTCATAAAGTAACTCTACGTTTAACATTTTGAGAAACTGCAAAACTGTTTTCCAAAGTGGCTGCTCCAGGTTACATTCCCATCAATAATGTAGAAGGGTTCCAATTTCTCTAAGTCCTCACCAATACTTGTTATCATCTCTTTTTGATTACAGCATCCTAGTGAGTATGAAGTGGTTTCTCATTGAGGTTTTGATTTGTATTT